ACACCGATAACCTTTTTGAGTGCGCGAGTATCCTACAAAGACATACTTAATAGATCGGGGAGATAATTTATCTAGTCCCGGAGATAAATCCTGAATAAAACAGGTACAACCAAAAACACGAGAAACCAAAGGAAATGTCTGTTTATCAGGATAAAGGCATATGAACGGTATTTTACTATTAAGAACAGAAGAGGACATCCTATTGATCAGGAAACTTGCACTGAGAACAGCATCATACCACAAATACTTTGGAACATTCATATGTATCATCAAGGTGCGAGCAACATCTAAAATATGTCTATGCTTTCTTTCAGCAACTCCATTTTGTTGTGAAGTGTGAGAGCATGAAGTTTGATGGAGAATACCCATATTTGCACAAAAACGAGAGAGATCACTTTTCATGTATTCCAAGGCATTATCGGTACGAAGGATACGAATAGAGGTGGAAAATTGATTTTTGATTTCCTTATAAAATATTTCGAAAACAGATGAAACCTCAGATCTCTCTTTTAAAAGATAAAGCCAAGTCATGTGAGAGAAGTCATCAACAAAGATAATGAAATATCTATAACCTCTTACGGAAGGTATATGACAAGGATCCCATACGTCAGAATGGACTAATTTAAACGTAGAACTGCAACGGTTATCAACACAACTCTGATAGGTAGCACGATGGTGCTTACCCAGTTCACAAGACTCACAACCTAAAGAAGAGACAGAAGATTCGGTAGAAATGATTGACTGAAGTTTCGATAACGATGAATGACTAAGGCGTTGATGCCATAGTAAAGAATGATGAGATCTTTCTGCACCAAGACCAGTAGTAGGCGTATTGTCATCCAAATAGTACATGCCTCCTCTCTCATGCCTCGAACCAATCTTCATCCCAGTTGCTAGGTCCTGAAAAACACAATGAGAAGGAAAAACCATGACTTTACATTTGTGTTTTGTTAACTGACTGATGGACAGTAAACTAACAGGAAACTTGGAAAGATATAAAACATCAGTAAGAGTCAGCGATGAAGTAACATGGACTACTTCATCACCAAGGACAGGAGAGTATGTCCCATCAGCGATTCAGACTGATGGAAATTGTCAGAAAGGTTTAAGGAAACTGGTCCTTTATACCTGTCATATGAGAGGAGGCGTCAGAATCTAATACCCATGGTCTGTGAGGAGAGGAAATGTAGGCATCCATACCTGAAGAGGATGCATGAGTAGTAGAAAAACTATTCTGGGAGAGATCAAGTTGACGCAACCGGTCAAACTCAGCCTGAGAAATTTGAACTGTGGAGGAAGCATAAGTAGTAGTAGTAGTAGCAGCAGCAGCAGCAGCAGAGGTAGTATCAGCTATCTGGACCCATGCAGGAAGACCAAATTTTTTCCAACACTTCTCAGATACATGATTACTTCTTCCATAATGGTGGCATTGACGCGGAGTCCTATCCGAGTCAATTTGTCTTCCAGCAAATGAGCCTCGTCCTCCCCTTATGTCGCTGTCACGACCATGACCTCAACCTTTGTCACGTCCGGAGAACATAGCAGACTGGTCAAGAGACGGAGTAAACAGTGAGGCAGTTGTATCTCCAATAGTTATCTGCATAACTCTGGAGAAAGTAGCAGTCAAAGAAGGAATAGTATCTCCTCCTAGTATCTGACCCTGTACTTGAGACTGTAAAGTGGGACTCAGACCCGACAAGAACTTAGACACTGCAAGGTCCCTACGATATCCCAATAGTGTTGGTGCATTCGTAACGGCGGGCTGATGCATCTGTAATTCATCGATCAAACTTTTCAGCTCACCAAAGTACTCAGGTACAGAGCGATCACCTTGTTGAAGAGAGAAAAGGCGTTTATACAATTCGAACTAACGGGATGCATTTTTCTCATTCCCGTACATAATTTTTAAATTATCCCACATCTCCTTAGCAGTGTTCGAGAACATAACACTGCTACTGATCTGGGCTTCCATGCTATTAATGAGCCAAGTTATCACACAACAGTCAGCAGAGATCCATGCGAGATACGTAGGATCAGTAGAAGCAGGAGGAGGGGCCAAAAGATAAGCTAATTTGTTCTGATCTCCAATGAAGATGTGAAAGGCCTGAGCCCTAAGAAGATAATTTGTGCCATTTAACTTTACAGTGGTTCCCAATACTACTTTGGGTGTAGAGATCTCAATAGTAGTAGGGGTAATAATAGCAGCAGACGAGATGTCAGATCCTGTCATTGTTACAGAACAGGATAGTACAATAGTAGAAGGATCACAATCTTCTTGTATAAAACCCGAAGGTTAGAATAAAGAACCTTAAAAGGTTAAAATAAGAACCCGAAGGTTAGAACCCGAGTTAGAACCCGAAGGTTAGAATAAAAAAACAAGGTCGGGTTAGAACCCGAAGGTCAGTTTTTCAGGAACCCGAAGGTTAGTATTCATAAACCCGAAGGTTAGAGATCTCATCAAAGAGTTCTTTTTTTGTGATATTTTTGTTTTTTTTCCTTTTCTTCTCCCTTTTTTTATATATATTAAATTTTTGTAAACTCTTCAACCCTCATCAAGAAACTGAACAAATCAGACAAACATGCAGGGCTCCTCTCAAAACAAAACAGGCCCAACAAAACATTCAGGGCTCCTCTAAAAAAAAACAACCAACTCTTCAACAACCAGGCCCAACAAAAGTAAAAAAAGGCCCAAACCTAATAAAAAAAGACAAAAAACAGCAGCAACTAAAAAAAAGCGAGGGTTAAGTGCATGAAAGAAAAAAAAATCTCCCATCCTTCAGCTCTCACACAGCAGGACGCCTCTCACACCCATTACACGGAGGCAGCCTTCTCTTCGACAGCCCTCTAGTTCCTCTTTCAGCTTTGGGGTCGCTGAGCACGAGGGAACCAAATCTGGGGTCGGCGAGCTCCGAGGGTGAGGGATATGACGCCGGTGAGGAAGCTGCGGCGGTGGCGAAGCAGCGAAGCAGCGACAGCGAAGCAGCAACGCTATGACGCCGGTGAGGAAGCTGCGGCGGTGGCGAAGCAGCGAAGCAGCGACAGCGAAGCAGCAACGCCGGCGAAGCAGTGAAGCAGCGACGACGACCTCGAGCACAGAAGAAGCTCGCGAAGCAGCGAAGCAAAGCACCGTCGACTCTGAGCACAGAACCAGGAAGAAGATACTCGGCGAAACATCGTTTTTTTTTGTGTGGCTGCTAGGGTTTAAGTATTAGGGTTAGGGTTTTCTCTGATACCATGTTGAAAGTGATAAATCAGAGTTCTTTCTATTCCGTCCATCCACATGGGTTTATATAGGGTTACATATGGGTAATAGGCTAATGGGTTAATGAGCCCTAACCCGATAACCCAAATACTAATTCTAACACTTAACTTTTGTACTCATATTACGAGCCACTTTGGAAGATGAAGCAGAGATTAACTCTGGCATAAAGGGTTTTCTTACGGATTAAATTATGTAAGTTCTAACAAATAAGGATTTATAATTGAAATTTTTCTTTTTTCTTTTTTTATACATATATGTATATATTTATATGTATACGTATGTGTATGTGTGTGTGTGTATACATATACATATTATATACATATATGTATATGTATGTGTGTGTGTGTGTGTGTGTGAGACATAAGAAAGGTTGATTCCGTGGAGACTGATTGATACCTTCAATATTAGGTAATAACAACTAATATAAGCTGGTATTGGCTAATAACAACATATACATGAGGAGATCTGAAGTTTGATAGAACAAAAGTTGATTTGATAATGATGTATTTGAAAAAAATAAATCTAAATTGATGAATGGGGATCTCGTAATTGCGTTGACTTTCATGCATGGAGGCTTCTAATGCTGCCAAAATAGCCAAATGCCCCTTTGCTAATACAAATGAACACAAATCTCATGACTTCACTGATATTCCAAACCATGCACTTTATAGATGTAATATTACAAAGCAGAATATTCTCCAAGAGGGATCTACTGTTTGAGATAGGAGGTTCCTTCCCACAGCAAATATTCTATAAGTTTTGTTTCACTTTTCCCTGTCCTGCATAGCACTGTTGGTTAATGGTAATAGAACTTGTAATTGTTTAAGGTGTACTTCATTTTCCTGCTTCCTTGCTTATTAAAGGAACTTAATAATTTATAGAATCTTATGCATCTTTTATCCAACTACAAATTTGTTAATCTTAACCATTGTATGGCATTAACATTTGATTTGCCAAGTTATTCTATCTATCAGAAGAAGTTTTGTTGTTCTTATTCAATATAAATATATGTTACTTGGTTTGTGATTATTACTGTTTTCTAAACTTTTGAATGAAACCGAGTGATACAGCTTGAGGAGATGTTGATGTTTCATTTGTTAGAGATTCCCTTGTTCCTCTTCTCATTTTGAATGGCTATTGACCTAGATGGAAAGGGGTGTTGAAACTCGCATAAGTTTTTGCAACAATGATCCAAAAAAGATGAAAAAGTTACATGTGATCTCATAAATTGGGGAAGACAAAAAGAAGGGCAAAGAAACCGTGCAAAGACTTTAGATATTTTGTCACTGTTGTTGGTATTGAAATTAAATAAAGGGAGTAAGAGTTTTTCTATATTCATATTCTCATTTATTAAGAAGAGGGTAATGCCCCAAACCTTTGCACCAAGAGTAATAAATAGTTAAACTCTAATAAGAAAAGAGAACATATAGTTCAGGAAGGTCTGAAGATATTGTATTTAACTTATACATTGAATCTGGACACCTCTATGAAAGCAATGAATCATATGACATATTCTAATAATTGACTATACTGTTTACTTAAGCTTACTCATGCTTCAACTGCAAGTTCCAAAATCACCTGCACAACTGTATAACTAGAAATTGGCTGCAGAAGGCAGACTGTTTTCCCCCTGGTCGTATCATATAATGGCATCTAATCTGCATGACACCTTTTTATCGTATACTTTAGAGGAGAGCTTTCATCTATATTTTTTTTCTAATAATAGTTTATTCAACAGTTATCTCCACTCTCTTGAACTTTGTGACACTGTTTCGACGGGCACACCAGGAAAACAGCAAGCAGGCTGAGCTAGAGAGGAAAAAGGCAGAGAAAGAGGCTGAAATGGAGAAAACTAAATCTCCAAACTCAACAAATAAAAAGGTAAGCTTCATTTTTTCCCCTTGAATCTTCTTTCTTCCATAATCCTTAGTGAATTGTAAAATATATTAACAGGAAGCAAAATCATCAAACTTGAGTCAGATGCTGCAGAAAGCAGTGAACAAGTCCAAAGTTGCAGACAGGCGAGAAAAGGATGTTAGATAGAATGCTAACAAATTAGCTTTTCAGAGACAGTTTTTGATCTCTCAAGCCTTCTTGGAGAATTCAAGTTCCTTTTTTAGTTTGGAGGTCCTGTTAAAATTTTCAGGACCAAGAGGATAAGAAAGCTCTGGTCAAGCCCAGATGTCGCTGTGAAGATGGCACCAAATTTGAAGATAAAAAAACTTGCACTGGTATCTGTTCTACCTATGTCATCTATATTGCCTTGGGAATACCAGTGTTACCACTACTGTTGCTTCATGCCATGCTGTGGGAATTCTTGTGTGCCACTTATGGTGTTCTTGGCACACCCTTAAAACTGGGCTAGGGCTAAACATGACCCAGTTTTGGGTTGATTGGCAAAAACTAGGCGAACTTTGACCTTGTTTTTCCTAAGCCAAAAAGGGTACATAGACTGATTCTGTTTTGATCCACCCTAGACTGGTTCTCTTTTGATCCACCCCTCACTTGGATTAAAAAAGAACTAGTTTATCTTAAAACTGGGCTAGGATCAGCCTAGTTTTATATATAGAGAGAGAGAGAGAGAGAGAGAGAGAGACTCCTATCAATTTAAGTTGATGTCCACCAAACTTCCTAGCCACTCATTTGTTAATATTAAAAATATTTTCATATCATGCAAGGATCCCTAGATAATATGAGTGGCTAAAAAGTTTGGTGGACAACTTTTTGCTATCCACATAAGTTGACACAAGTTTTGCTCGCTCTCTCTCTCTATATATATATATACACACACACACACATTCCTTTTGTCAAATAACTATAATTTTGAAGGATTTTGCTGATTTCAGTTCTCTTACTTTTTCCAGGTATTTTGAGGCTGAGATCAATGAAATCTTAGCAACTGAAGCAGAAACCTCTGTACAAAGTTCTAACGCTCTTTGGTTCATTTGAACATTCTTTCTGTAAAGTCAATGTTTGTCAATTTTTTTTACTGTAGAAATAGGCTGTAGAAGTTATTTAGAGGCTGAGAAATGAAGGGATGTGTAATCTGAGAGAGAGAGAGAGAGAGAGAGAGAGAGAGAGAGAGGTAGGTTTGTTTATATTATTATTAAGTGCAATAATTGTAATGCTGGAAAGCTAGAAGGCAGTCAATTTATCTGTCCATGATTTATTCATCAAAAGGAACATCCTTTTATCTTTCTAGGTATTAAGTATTAGTATATCCTCGAACTTCCATAAGAAACGTTCATACTTTTCAGGTAATTTGCATGAAATTGTCACTAGTGGGATTCATATAAACAGTTAAGATATGGATGTAATTATCAACCGTAGTAGGTCCAAAATGAAATGAATATTCTTAAGGCATTTGTTGCTACTTGCAACCGTCCCTTTAGTTTCTGTTTTTCCTATTGCAAGTTTGCGCCTTGAGTACATTCTATAATTTTACTATTGTAACGCTTGAATCCAGTTGAGTTATTTGGGGGGTCTTAAGTATCAAGTAATCTCTAAAATCAGTTATGAGCTCAAGAGACATCAACTCAAAACACAAGTTTCTCTCTCCCTCTCTCTCTCTCTCTCTATATATATATATATATTATAGACAAAGAGAGAGAGAACTGTAGAAGCACTGCCCAGCGCTCCGTAGCGTGTGCTGCTTGGGTGTTTCTGAAAAATTCCAATGCGATTCTCAAAAAAAGCGCTGCTCTCTCTCTCTCTCCCAAAAACTCAGATCTCTCCCCAAAAACTCAGATCCCCAATTTTCTCAATCCCTCTTCCTACCCCTCTCGATCTCTCTTTTACGAGCTCCAGTTCCCCTCTCGATCTCTCTCAGATCTCTCACATGCCGCCC